TTATTTATTTATTTATTATTATTATTATTATTTTTTTTTTCTAACTGTGCTTCTTATATAATTTTTGAGTTGACCTGTATTGTGTACTCTATTATTTAACTTCCCGGAGCCACAATTTTGCTTTGTGTGATTTTCTTTACTTGTTAGTATAGTGATCTGAAATTTGGTGCTTTTTATGAATAGCATGTGTCTGGTCGTAAACTTGCCTACATTTTGTAAGAAAGCTGATCATTCCAAGAAATACTGATTATAAATGAATGTTGTTCGAATACTTCATTTTCCATATAACTATTTTGTATAACATATGGGCGTGTACTCATTTTCGTTTGTGTATTATGGTGCTACATGGTGTCAACAAGTTCTTGATTTTCATGAATTTCAGCGACATCAAGTCTTCATTTCATTGGCTTTTCTATTTTTTCCACATTTTTAATTGCTTTAGTGTTACCCTTGCATAATTGCATTTGCAAGACATGTCCTGCATCTTTTCGGGCATTAAGGGAGGCGGTCTTGCTATTCAAACCAATAATAGAAGATTCTTTGCTACCATGTTTAGTTGATACATGAACGGATTCTGTGATGTTCACTTGCTAAACTCCATTTCCTCAGCATCAATAAGTTGCCTATGTCTTCTTCTTTACTTTCAGGGTAAATGGTGGCAAAATAGTATCTCAAGGCGTTTGTCCTGATTAATATCTTCATGTTATTGGAATCCAATTGTATTCTGTCATATACTTTGATGATCTGTTCATCTCACGGATGGTCAATACTTTCTTTATCCAGCTGGTGGGAGTAAGAAGTCTGCTGCTGCTTCTGCAGTGGTCAATTCAGCCAATGCAAATACCAAAAAGGTTGCAAAGGCTCCTCCCCGAAAGAAAGACAGCTCCTCAGTTGCAGCTTCTGAGAAGAAAGGTGGTGATCGTCAAACAGATAAAGATAGGAAGAAAGATATCCCTCATCCACGTATGCAGTTTGATGATGAGGACCAAGTTGAGAAGGCAAAGAAACGGTCTGTGGTGAAACAAACTGAATCCAGGAACAGAGTTGAACTATTTAGACATCTACCTCAATATGAACATGGAACTCAGCTTCTTGACCTTGAATCAAAGTTCTTTCAGCTTGACACAGTCCATCCTGCAATTTATGCGGTAGATACTTAGATAATTATTTGTTTTCCCTCAGTAACATTTATTAACTCAAATCCTTACGATTGGAGTAAGAACCCCTCTGAAGGCATATTGTTACAACTATTTATATGGTCATATAATCTGGTTTCAACTATTAAATTCATGGGTTGCACATGAGATCTCATCTGGGATCATGTGGTGGAAAGCTGCTGCAGATAATCTCTATCTCCTCGTACACTTTATCCTGATTATGGGGTTTATTTGTTGTCAGGTTGGGCTGAGGTTTTTGACTGGGGATATATCTGGTGGAAATGCCCGCTGTATTGCAATGCTTCAGGCATTTCAAGAGTCAATCAAAGATTACTTTACTCCAATGGAGAAAGAACTTACAAGGGACCTCCCTACAAAGATAAATGGTTACGTCTCATTTCTGATTCAATGCAGGCCCCTTTCAATTAGCATGGGGAATGCAATTAATTTTCTTAAACACAAAATTCCTGAATTACCTTCGACCATGTCCGAGTCAGAAGCAAAAGCGAGCCTTCTCTCAGATATCGATCGCTTTATAAATGAGAAGATAATTCTAGCAGAAAAAGTAATCGCGAGGCATGCTGTAACAAAGATTAGGGATGGTGATGTTCTTCTCATACATGGGTCATCATCTGTTGTCGAAATGATATTCTTATGTGCCCAAGAGCTTGGCAAACAGTTCCGAGTTGTGATTGTGGATTCACGTCCAAAGCTTGAAGGGAGGATGTTACTTCGTAGGTTGCTGGGAAAGGGTATTAGTTGTACATACACCCATTTAAATGCTATTTCCTATATAATGCATGAAGTAACACGGGTATTTTTGGGTGCTTCATCGGTGTTGTCTAATGGAACGGTTTATTCAAGGGTTGGCAATGCATCTGTTGCTATGGTTGCCCATCAGTTCCATGTTCCAGTCTTGGTATGTTGTGAAGCATATAAGTTTCATAAAAGGGTTCAACTTGATTCAATTTGCTTTAATGAACTTGGTGAGAATTCTTAATTTTCATTTTGTAATATCCCCATTAGATATGTGTATCCTGTTTATAACATTTTCGGCTGGTCTCACATTATTACAGGTGACCCTGATGATATTGCAAGGGTTTCTGGTAAGGAGGATATCAAATATTTGAATGATTGGGCCAGTATCCAAAATCTTCAACTTTTGAATCTGATGTAAGTTTTATTTTTAAGATTCCGTAGTATTTGACCTTGTATTGCAAGCTAAAGTTTTCGATTTTCCACTGTAACAGTTACGATGCAACACCTTCGGACTACATTTCAATGATCATCACAGAATATGGCATGGTAAGTTGAAGCAAGGTTCATATAAATGATCATATTCTACCAGTAGATTTAGCAATGAATATGCCTAAAAAATTCAGTAGAAGTAATCCTAGAGTGGATCATGAGTTTGCTTCTTTACTGTTGTATATAGAATTATTGTGATCATGTTCCTTACTTGCCATCCTTCAACCTTGAAACTATGATCATTGTATGTCAAAAGACTATTTACTGTTACTAAAAATAGTCATTAGCCGAAGTAGTGAGTCAAGTCACTGCGTACTCGACACACTAAGGATGGTGGTCTACTCAGGGTACTATACGACTTTGACGAGCTCATAGATCAGTGAATAAGTTACAAATTATTCATTTTAACTCGATCTCGTTCTCCGTAACTCATTTTAACCAGTTCTTTTGCTCGATTAATATGTTCTTAACTATGCATGTTTATAAGATGATTTTATTTTCATTTTAGAACTTAATTTATCATACTCTTTTTTCTTCGACCAATATCTTGGAGCTCTTTTTGCATCACTGAAATAAAATTAATTAAATTTATTGAAGCCCCTCTTGAGAGAGAGTTTCTGTAGTTACTTTGGATAACTTGTTTCGTGTGTTATGTAATGTTATATGTTTGTTGCAATGTGTAGATCCCTCCAACAAGTGTTCCTGTTATTGTTCAAGAGTACGGTGAACACTTATTGATTTAGAGATGTAAAATACAGTCTATGCTGGCTTTGCTCATGAAAGTTGAAATATGTAATATATGTAATCGAAATCTTATATAGAAACGCAAATTTCATTTGGTTTTTCTATAAATCCGTCAATACAATCTCTTCACATCTCTGTCTACAAAAGTGAAACTATTCTATGGATTCTCTGAGAATGTCACCTTTGTCAGACACAGGAGATATGACAGCAAGAATTGCAAAACCACCCAAAACAACTATCAACATACCAAGAGAGTTCACCAACAATGCCTCAGATGAATATCGTGCTATTATGTTGTGTGTTTGAAGAAACGTTGCTTTCTCTAAGAAACCAGTGGTGCAAGTAGCGACAGCTAGAGCATAAATATACGCACCAAAAAATACATGCCAAGGCAGCAGACTAGCTCTACTGTTCCTTGAACCACCGGGATACCAAAAGGTTACAAATCCAGCAGCCCACTGCGAAAGAAATTATTGACAAAATTAATTGATGGAACCTGAGAAAATACTAGAGAATTTGTTGGAGCCTTGGAGGGAAGGATTAAAAGACCATACCTGAATTCCGAACAAAAAAAGGCAGGCTAGTCCAAGCCATGAGTGGAGGCTATAGAAATTGTCGACGCCTTTGTCATTGTGAAACTTCAAAGCAGCCCATACTCCAATTACGCTCAAACAGAATGCCAAGAATTGCAAACACAGATGAATTGATTTTTTGAAGTTTTTTGTTCCTGAGACAGACTTGTAGGCCAGCATGGCTACAGAAATCCATAACAAGCAATTATAAACATAATTCTGAGAATGCCAGCAAACAGGTAATGATGATGGGTGTAATGACCAGATCTGACAATATACAAACAAATGAGCACAAAAATAGTTGATCATTTGGGCAATTGGACCTTAAAATTCATATATGTAGATCCCAGACCAATGAATGGGTATATTCCCAAAGCTTGTGCAGTTTGGAAAAGGGTTTTTTGACAGAAAAGGGAAATCTGCTTGTATGCCATTGGGCATGACCATAGATTACTTAAAATTCACACTTGGTATGGGTGAAAATCAGTTAGAGCAAGTAGCTCCTACAGTGCTTCAAAAGGAAGAAAATTGGTGGGTACAATTGGAAAAGAAGTTTAAGACGTAATATTGCATGAAAGTATAACTGTACAAGACTACCAAATTTCCATAAACTAGTTTTTCCAATATTATAGAGCCAGTTGCAGAAATAATCAGCGTTGTCATGCAATCAATGGTTAACGCACGTTGAAATACTTTTACAAGTAAATTTAAGAGAACAAGATATAGTTGGATTTGCTCCCCAATGGTCACCAGTTCGAGTCCTCTCAAAATCACTGAAGTGAGTACTCGGCTGTGAATTTTAGGGTCCCGTGAAATTAGTCGAGGTGCGCGCAAGCTGGCCCAGACACCCATGATTATCAAAAAAAGAAAAAAAGAGAACAAGATATAGATGTTGATGATCCAAGTAGAAATTTTATTTTACATTTTACCGTTCATTCTCTCCAGAAAATACTCCCTCCAGGCTGATTTCAAGGCCCTTTGGACCGTTCAAAGATTTTGAGACAACTTCTTCATCTGGGGTTCAAATTCCACTGAGAGGTCTATTCATTGATTATGAGAAGTAGGTGTTTGAAACAAGTACCATGTAGGCAATCAAAATTAGAAGTAGATATTATATTTTAGAAGGGCGAGTAAAATTGAAAGGAACAATTGTTTAGATTACCAAACTTCTGTTTCTGAGCAACACAAGTGCAATATTTGGATATGATCAAAACTATTTGTACTTCACTGTACTGTTTTGAGAGTGAAAGAATATAAGGCTTCTATATCATAAAAATGGTAACCAGCTTGTATCCTCGTCCCATAAAATATATTGTCCACAAAAATCCATTTTGATCAAGGTATCATTGACTCAAATAATAGTGCAGCAAAGTTGCTTTAGTCTAAGCTAAGGCCGTTTGATGCAGGCAGAAGTGCGAACGATACCAAATGCGAGATCACAAAAACATTATTCGCACTAGATAAACGGTATAAATACAAAAAAACAATAAACCCTAAAAACGAGCACATTGAAGTGTTTAATTATAATCTAATTAGAACTCAAAGCAATGTCAATAAACAAGAATTCTAATTAATTAAAGAAAATAATCTCCGAATGAATTATTCAACATCCATCTCCATCGCTGTTGCTACCATGCAACTGAAGACTTCTACATACATTACTCACCAAACAAATTATCACTTAAAAGGAAGGGAATCGTAATTTTTAGAACAAAGTACACAGAGATAAACCATAACTTGAAGGTGTCAATGCCTTCATCTCAATAATCCACAAAAAAAGAAACAAAGAAATTTGGAAGGTATATATGAAAACTTGACGCTGTTGGTTTAATGCAGCTATAAAACATCTGCACCATTTTCTACTTTTTCATAGCCATAAATAATAGATAGAAACAAAGAAACAGAACAAATAAGTGGAACTTTTTGGTTACCTTTGATTTAATAAAATTGTAGAAACAGAAATAGAGAAGGGGATTGGACAATGGGTATTGGTTATGGCACCTATGGACGTGTTTGTCACACATTATGGATATAGGACAACATATAAAATAATCTTACCTAGTAATCTCCAATAGAAAATGTGATGCAATTGGATGTGAGTCAACCATGTTGAAACTTGATAAATCATATCATTTTTCTGGGCAGAAACGAGCAATGAGCTGAACTCGGGGACTTTCAAAGCCCTCCGGTTTTGCAAAATACAACATTTAACCTGTCAAATTGGGATTTCTATAATTCAGGAGGAAATTGATTTTTATATATTTATTTATTTGCTCGTTTAGATTAATTTCCTAAAGTTTGTAATTTAGGGCTTCTTATTTTCCTTTAAAAGCTAGAATTAGTTTTGTTGTAAATTAGCTATTTATTACTGAAAATTTGAATGTTTCTCAATTCTTCCAATTATTCAGTATTTGATGGCCAAATCCTTGATATTCTATTGAATCAACGAGTGTTTGGAGTGTTAATCATCTTCCGCATTACTCCGCAGCATCAAAATGCCATTAATAAATTTCAATAGAAAAATGCTATTAAATATTAATGGGACAGACTGTCAATTTTTTCTACGATCATTGTCCAGAATGTTTTAATTCAACATTAATAACATATAATGTGAATTGAATTATGTGTATCCTTACCTTCACCATTCAGAAGTACAAGACCAATCACCATTAATACAGGATGGACCTACACAATTCACAGTACAGATGATCAATTTCAATCACAAGTCAAAATAAGTCCAAAGTATAATGATCTACAACATCTAACCATCAAAGAAATAAACTTATTTATTCAAATTAACCCTCCTGTAACAAAATCGCCGCCAATTTTTAAGCGTTCAACGTTTTCATTTCAACGTTAACCAACATAAACGAATTAATTCGAGAAAATAAGGAGTAAGTAAAAATTAAACAAAATAAGGGGAGAGTACATTGAAAATAAGAGCTTTGTTGTCGGAAATCAGAGCTAAGCCTCCCCTATAATGCACAGTCCATGTTAGAACCAACGCCATTACTGCGATTCCTATTATCCTCACCACCGCCAATATCGGAAACCGAACCTCCGGTACTGTCATTGGGAAATTTTGAGAGAAAAAAACTACTATTAATTAATTGAGATAAGAAACTGTATTAGCGAGATTAATGTTGAGGGTCCGTTTTGCATTTATATTCAGATCTCTCTTAATAAAAGAAAATAATTCTTAGAACAGCAATGAATAAGAATAATAATAATGCTATTTATTATAAATGATGATAGCAGTTGACAACAATTAAAATGAGTTTTTTTTTTTTAATTAGTTTTGAAATAGTGATTTTTTTAGAGAATATGTGATTAAAAAATTAAAAAAAAAAATTAAATTTACGTATAGAATATTTTATTGTGAGAATGTGATATGAAAATAAGTCTGAGAAAATAAATTTTTGTTATAATGATTGTCATACATTGGCTAACTAATAATGTGTTTAAAAATTCATTGTCTACTTAAGCTGTGATCGATAATATTATTCAAACAATGCACTCAGTGAGTCCAGTTATGTTGTCCTCATATCTCCGTCCTTTTAGCTATTAACACCAATTAAATTTTGACACGTCATTATGTACAAATACAATTTTTGGATCTCAAAAGCTCATATCCAAAAGCAATAAAACTTTTTGCAAATTATAAACGGTTGATCGTATGTAAATAGAAAGTGGATAAATATTGTAGATCATATGAAATACGTTATTAAAAATATGTTTAGTTATCTTATAAGCTTGAAATTTTTTTAATAAAAACTTACTCATATTCTTTCAGAGCGAATATAAAGATACAGGGGGAAAAATGTATATTAATTTGGCTATTCGGACGATTCCGTAATTTTCAAAAAGTTAAGAGTCATCTATTTGAATAATTGAATACATCAAGGATTTAAGATTTATTTTAGAAAGCTTTATTTAGTAAAATTTATATATTGGATAACTTTAAGACTTGCATAGATATAGATATTAAAATGGACTGCATCACTCTTACCTAAAGTTTAGATTGAAGATCAACTTTCTACTTTCTACTTAGGTTGAGAATCTATGCAAAAATTGTAACAGACATATTTTACATATAATAATTACGCATTACAATACATAAAAGAGAATCCTATTTTTTTTTTTTTTTTTAAATCGTTATTGATGAAAAAAGAGACAACAAGTGTCTAGGCAAATATTCAACCTTATATCTCGTCTATATCAATTACTTGACGACAACCCATCAAAAAGATAAAAATAAAAATAAAAATAAAAATAGTAATAATAATTTAATAGCTCGCTCTCTTCCATTTCAAATCATCAAAAAAATTAACTCTTGTGAATTCTAGTTGGTTAGAAATTATATTAATTTACTTTTCAGAACAAATTAATTAAGTTCAAAATAAAATCATCTCCATCCATTTAGGTCATAAATTCTTATAATTAACAAACAAAAATAAACCACTCCATTAAAATTCACAATTAAATTACGCAAAAATTAGGGTTTGTTTGATTACATTTATTTTCCATGAAAAATATCAGTTTTCCACCCAAATTCCTATTTAGAGTGTTTGAGTGCTATTTTTTACCATGATAAATATTTTCCAACTTTTGAAAATATGTCTAACTTTCTTTGGGTAGAGGTAGTTTTTATTTTCCACAAAAGAAACATTTTCTTTTCTAAGTGACATTCTTCATGCCAATCAAACACAAAGAATTTGGCGAAATTCACTTCAACTTTTGCCAAGAAAAAAGAAATAATACCATATTTGTTCTTGCAATTTAGGCCAAAAGAGAATAATAATCAGATGCACACCTTCTAATCAAATTAAAATGATGTCTTAAAACAGCACATTTAACCAAGACCAGAGTTTTAAAAAAGGCTGTCAAATTGCAAAATCTCAAAGATTACATCATTAACTGTCTCTGTAAATCAGGAATATCTGGCATTTTGCCAACACTACTGTTTCAAATCAACTGCAAGTGTCAAACACAAACCAAAACTTGAAAACTAAGTGGAAGAAACTCCATTCTAATTAGCTCAGTTTTAAGTAAAGATGAGAACTATTGAAAGGTCAACACCTTACCAAGAAATGGAGAACTTCAAAGACCTCAAGATTGCCATATGAACGTCAAGTTCCAATTTTGATTATTAGTAAAGAGTAATATATCAAAATCTTTGTCGAGTATATATATGATTCTGAACCCATCTCCTTTTTCTAAATCGAGATTCACGTCTCTGAGAGGAAAGACATACATATGTTGTCATTCAACTTCTTTTTCTCTCGAAGATTCTTACCTGAACCACCATTTCTGAATAGCAGTAATTGGAGTGTTCAGGAAAGGCGCGTAGCGTCGGATTAGAGGATTTATAATCCTCCCTATCCTGGCCCATGCACTTTGATGGTAACCAGCAGTTGCAGGGGCCTGGTACATAAGCTTTAAAAGCTGCCAGAAAGGAAAAAAGGGACGTTTACATTCCATATGATTACTAACTTTAATAAACTATAAAGCAAAATTATTCACAAAAACCATCACTATTAGTGTATGTTTAAAAACAAAAATATATAGACCTTGTGAAGACATGGAGGTTATTAAAAGTAAAAGTTACTTTTGAGGTGTTACTTTTTTCCTACTTTCATGTAAAAAGAGTTGCTTATTCTTTGAGAATAAGTCTTTCTTTACTATCAAAATAAGTAATTACTTCCAGCTCATACCAGTAAAATCATATATTCTAAAACTTATTTAACCATAACAAAATTTATCTTAGACAAACATGCAACAAGTCTTACATTTTCAGAGAAAAACATATGGAAGTAGGGGCGGAATAATTGCCTATGAAGTTCCCTAGTAGACAAACGATGAGAGACACATTACACAACCAAACATTTTATAGAGAGCTTAATCAAATGTTCTTATTTAAGTTATAATACAAGATCATCTGAACTGCTCTAACGGATTACCAGATCAATGTTAAACCTCGTCATAAAAATAGAAACGATTCCATATTCAACTGTCAAAAAGAGGAGATACACACCTGCCAGTACATAAATGCTTGTATAACATTGCGCTGCCACCTGTATGGTTAAGTATAACATTAAGGAATTAACCTTACTAATTATTTTTTGGGTAAAATTCAAAAGAGATAAATGCTTGTGTGATCTTGCGCTGCCCCTTGGGATCCCAAACCTTTGAAGGTTGTAGTTATGAGTTTTCAAACCTTTTGAGTTCTAGCACCTGGAGTCCCAAAACCTTTCAAATGTATGCGTCGAGGGTTCTTTTTGGATGGAAAATATTAAATTGACAGTTGGCAAGTAAAATTTGGAAGGAAATAACCATTTATCCTTGATTTGATTTAAAACAAATAATTAAAGAAATTAAAAGAATAAAAACACTAAAAAAGGAAAACAAAAACAAAAATAGATCTAATCATCTTCTTCCCCCTCTACACACCCCACTCCCACCCTCATCTACTTCCACCTCCACCTCTGCCACCCTACCCACCTGACCACATCACCACCACATCTACCACTTGCCAATTTTCCTCCCCATCTTTTCATATGAATCCATTTTGAAATCCACCTTCTTCCTCATTTTTCAATATACACACACGAGTGGGGAGAAAAGAAACTGATAAATCTCGGAAAATAGAAAACACAGGCCAGAAACAGTCCACCAAAAACAAGAAAAAAAAAAGTATATCAAAATACAGAGGAAACGTCATAGAAGAAAAAAATAGTTTTACTGGCTACAACTCAGCCCAGCAAAGCTTTTCAGTGTCCTCTTATAATTCTCCATTTGGTAAGCACCGTGACTTCACTTTATCTGACGGTTTGTTTGTTTACTAAGAAGCATGAATTCGGATACGTAATTCGAATACGATATTAGTAAGTTGATACAACTTTTTAAAAAAAATTAGAATACGGGAATACGTGTGTCTGTATATTATTCAGCATAATTTAATTACTATAAAAAAATTATAACAGAAGCAAGATAATGAAAATAAAATAAAATACTAAAGCATTTTATCTTAATCCTTAATTTTCTCAACTTCATTTTCTTCAACATTATCAACACTAGTTTCTTCATTATTATTAAAAATAATACTTTTCAACTCTGACTCATTTAATGATTAATTAGATGAATTCTCCTTTCGAATAGTGATATAATACTATTATCTATATTCATTATTAAAAATATATTTGTCAAGTATTTATACGATTTTACATATATTAAAAGATTTAATGCTATTGCCTATTTTCAATTTAAAAAAAAAAAAAACAAAAAAAAAACTTTAGCTTCAATAAAATTTAAAACTCTAATAGTGTTTCCAATTAACATTATCTATTTTCAATAAGTTCTTGATAGCAATTTGTCTACTAAGTAGATTCTTTTGCCAATATATGGTTAATAATAATGAGTTTTAAAAGAGTTTAAAATTAATAAACTCTTCTTCATGTGTCCTAACATATTCGATACGTATCAAAAATAAGTATCCAATACATATAATTTTTTTTTAAAATATAAAATAATTAAAAAATACATATTCGGTGTGCATCGGATCGTATCGAAGATTATCCAAACTTAGATACAAATCGAATATAGATACATAATGAGTTTGAGTATAAGTGCTTCTTAGGTTTTTGAATGCACGAACAGACCCTTTTAGTTCTATCTTAGGAGGCACCTGCTACCTCTGATACTCGGACTCTTCGAAATGGTCAAAGTACCCATGTCGGACAAGGGTATGGGATATGTGTCGAATTCTCCAAATTTCAACCGAACTCTTCGCCTTTTTTCTTTTTTCCTTCTTTTTTTTTTTTTCCTTTTCTTTCCGGTTTCCGCTCTCTATAAACCTTGTGCCACCTTCGAGAGGATGGAGAAAGGCGATGGCGCTAGGTTTTCCCTCCTTTCTTTTTTTTTCCTTTCTTTTTACTTCTTTCCCTCTCTATATTGTAGTTTAGAGTTTTGATTGTATAAAATAAAAATGGATTCCATATAGTGCTATTAGTGCTTCATTAAGTCCAAATTGCAATCAAGTCCCTCATTTTCTATTTTATATAACATTTAGTAGTTAACTTTCCATAATTAAAAACTAAACCCCAAAATTCTATTTTATTCGTCTTAACTCCATTCAATACTCATTTCTTTCTTTGTGAACAATTTTTTTTTTTTTTTATCTATTCAAAATGACATCTTGGGGTAGTAAAAAAATTGAAACTTGAAAGGCGTACCCACGTACCCGTGCCCGAAATTTATACTCGTTTTAGTCATGTCTCAGTATTCTATATTTTAGAAAATAAAAGATCCGACACTTAGATTAGTACCCGATATCTATACCCAAGCCCGAGCATCATAGCCTGCAACTCTGTCTTCACCTTTATTTAATTTCATCTTCTAAATAATATTGTTGCATATCTTATCCACAATATTTTTTAGGTACACTTTCTAATCTAGCAGGTTTTTCTTCGTGAAATGAAGGGTGAAACTTGTAGAGGGAGGAAGTGGAGTGTTAGGAGGGGAGAACGAAACAAAATAGACAAATTGGTAAATTCCATCCGGGGTGTAAAGGGGGAGAGAAGATGATTAGATCTATTTTTGTATTTTTATCTTTTTTATTAGTTTTAAAACTAAGGGTGAAATTATCATTTTATTCAAAAATTGACCTTATAGTGGTCAATATGACGTTTTCCGTCCAAAAGTGACCCCTAGTGCTAAAGTTTGCAAGGTTTCGGACTCAGGTGCTGGAAATCAAAGGTTCGAATCCTGGGTGCAATTTACTCTATTTTTTCAAAAAAGAATCCGAAGTTCTAGAACAAAAATCATCAAACCCAGAATAATATAAAGAAGGAAGCAGAGATACTGACGAGAAAAGAGAGATAATCAGAAGAAATCCAAGTCCAATCTCAGCTTGTGAAGACAGAATGCTAAGGGTGGTTGTGTTCGAATCAACCCAAACACAGGCCTCTTCCAAGTATTTCCTGCAGAATCCACAAAATTAAGTCACAAACATTAAAGAAAGGAACATGTATGGAAACAAGTAAAAGCACCTAGATCAATTTAGTCAATTCAACTCTCTACTTGTCCAACAAAGGCATGCACAGAACTATAACTATGATTATCAAATAAAACTATAGGTTAGTTCATGAAAATTCTACGCAGAATTTTTTCCCATTACATCTCTCTAGTTCAAGCAAAGGCCACCATCACATCACATATATTGTTCCTAGCAGCATATATTGACTATCCATCACTTAGTCGCAAGTGGACACATGGTGTCTTTTCTAACATTAAAAGAAAGTAATAACACTACCGATATGCAAATTTGACAGTTGGAGACTTGAGTTCACAAAACTGACTTAAATTAGGCTGTGTGAACTGACTTAACTTAGGCTCTCTATGGAATTCAAGATTTTAGGAGTCCCCCACCCAACATGACTTAGCTTTAGGCATACACGCATCACATATTAACAAATGAGAAACAACTAATAATTCCCTTGACATCCTCAGATAAAGGATTCTACCTAAATTATTCCCCAAAGTTTTCTTAATTTTTCATATTATAAAAATTTACCATTCACTAGGCTAACAGAAGTAACAAATCCCTATGTCTGATTCTGATATACCGCCTAGTTGCCCAACACACCAAAATAAAAAACTCAAAGAGCAACTAAAATTACTACACACACATTTATGGTTTCCTTAGCAGCAACATGTCAGTAGAAACTGAAAGAAATGCAACCGCACGTTAAGAGATTGGAGAACTACATCTCCTATAAACCAAAGAAGATATTATGAAATGCTGCCATGACTAAATTTCAGCTCTGCATAAGATTCATTTCATAGAGAAATGCCACCGGACAATCATAATATTGAGCAAATTTGAAGTATTCAACAATTCCAATCAAATTTGCAATTAGAATACACATACATACAGACTTCCTTACCTGTACAAGGTGGATCTGCTAAAGTTACGCCGAAGAAACTTAGCAACATGCTGAAGGGACAAGCACAAAATTGGAATCAAAGCAACTGCCAACATAAAACATCAGCAAATTATGTGCATGGAGAGGCAGAGCTGGTATATATTAGGCAAATAGGATGAAAAACCAGCATAACAAAAGTGGAGTAATACTAACATTTGAGGCACAGATTTGAAGTGACAAAGGTAAGGCAGTAGATGGAGTAGATAAAATTTTTGGTAACTGCCACTGATTGAAACCAAACTTGCAGAGCCTGCAAGTTCCATGCTCTAGGTTTCTGCAAGCAATGACTAGTTACTAGAATCGGTGAATCTGTGAATAGAACATAAATCATGCACAGGATAAGATAAGTAATAAACTGACTGGAAACTACCCCATATAACGAATATAATGAATACAGAGAAGAACATGCAGTCCCCATGAAGGAAAGCCGAAATGCCCGTTTTGACAGATTCTTAGGAACAAGAGGAAAGATTGCAAGAACTGCCACCACAAAAATCTGCAAGGAAAACCATGTACACCTACCATCTTTTAATGATAAACTAAAAACAAATAAGATGTGCATAATACGTAACAACAACTTAGTGAAATAACAATGACCAAAAAGGGAGGGAGAAATTACAAATATTGGTATTAGAATCTCATTAAAAATCATAATGTTTCCAAGTCAAACATGGAAGCAGATGTACTCTCATGATCAATTCCACATTCAAACAAAGGGGCATTCCAACCTAAGTCCCAACAAGCAAACTGCTAGGTAATTTGATTTCGTGACTCTTGCTCTCCCAGTTACAATTCAGTTGGGAAATAGGAACACAAGAGAGTAATTAAAAGATTGTCCTAAAAGCAACAAAAATGCTTAGGACTTTTCAAAGAAAACAATATTAGATTAGAAATGGTGAGCTAAGATCAGAAACCTGTTGGTAAATGAAAAATGAAGAAAAATATAATAGACATCCCACAACAAGAGCATAAATTTTAGACATATAAAGGTTGACAAAATTATGGAAGCCATAATAGTAGCGTGAGTCACACGAGTAACAATTATCTAATATGGTGATTTAGTGCGAGAAACTTGGACCAACCTTTTTTTTTTTTTTTTCCTGAAGTATATCTAAGAAAGGCAGAGATAGAATCAATTCAACCTAAAATATCCGGTATATATGCGTGTATATATGTATATAAAACAAAATGTAAGAGAGCAGGTAGACAACTTAAGAAACTTAATGAATAAGTTAAAATTATTGGGGACTAAGTTATATTTTCAAAGGGTCTCAACCCATTTTCTTTAAATTATCTTGACAAAAATAAAATTTCCTAAACCCATTCCTATCATTTGTGATGTTATGATGTTAGAATTAGCTACCAATATTAAGTGCTAAGAAGATAGGACTATTTTCTTAGGATCTGGCTCTCCCTATACCAAATCCCACAAACATTATAAAAAATGGAACTTCTAGGGAACGATACCCCTCTTAATAGAACACTTGATATCAAGGTCAACTTGTATTTTAGAAGTATCAAGGTGGAGGTCAAACAACTCAAAGTTAATTTGGAAATTTTAAGGCAGATACATTATAGTAGCAACTGATCAGAACCCAAGCTTTCAAGTAAATAACACTGTAAATATACATACATAGAATTAGGACCCTGCGGATTTGGTAAATTTTAGACAACAAGATGACATCAAATTTATGTAAGAAATGTTAACTACAAGCAAATAATAACATTTCACTTTTTAGGTCACTGTTGTATTCCTTGATATTGGAAACAGTTCACTTCATGTTCTGGAACATTGAAGAAGCCATAGCTTCCAATGTTTTTAGCCTATAACATAAATGTTTTTGTTCTCACATCTTCCTAGTGTATCTGTGTATATTTTTGACTTCTAAAGTAAGAACAAAACATACCCAAGCATTGACAGAAAATTGAATAGTTTGTCCATCCCAACGCAGAGACGTTGAATTTGGAGCTGGAGTAGTGAATGTGCCCGTTGTTCTACTTGTATAACCTACAAATGAATTTAAGTAGAGTTCAGGTAGATAGCATATAACATAACCTAGACCTGAGTTCTGTGTATGTGAATAACTATGTGTTGTAGAAGATGCCGCTGGCTGAGATGTACTGCCACTAGCCATTGGCTCAACAATCAGATCGGGATCCTGCATAGTAAAATACATCAAATTAACAAAAAATTGATCTCTCTGAAGGGGGAGCCTACAGGAGAAACGTGTTACATCCATTCTATAGTGAATGAATAAACTCATCAGCTAAGGAAAGCAGATAAGCCCATATAAATAACCACAAAAAGCCAAAGACCCATAAAAGTGCTACGTTCATGGCCATCATTATAGCTCAAAAAGTCCATCCATGAATCTATGAATACAAGTCTCACTAGTCATGATTTCACATATACATGGACAAAGTGAAATGGCTTTAATCAGTTCAGAAACTGTTGTCTGAACTGCCAACTTGAAAAAGTAGGCAGAGATGATACAATTAAAAATCGACTACATATCTCACGTGTTCTGATTTTGACGCTAAGAGGTCACTAGATGAACCAAAATAACGGAGTCAGAAAAACAAAAAAGGAACATGAAGCAACAAGATATGTAAGGTTTTAATATGAAAAAAATTTACCAACGCCCATTTTAAAAGGACAGTCTAAAATTACAATAAACCCATTAAATTACAACCAGCAAAACAGATTTTGAATTAAAAAGGCCAATCAAATCAGACACTGAAAAAGAAGAAGAGTTGAAGTACAGTCCAAAACCACATCCTCAGATTCTAACATCCGATTTTATCAAATTGTTCATCTTTATTTACCAGAAGACAACAGTAAATCATTTGAAACACAGAAAAAATACCCTAACCAGTAATTGCGTTCCATTAAGAGCTAAAAATTGTCACATGCCTTCATATTACCTACACGCACGCACAAAAAGAACAAACATTTCTTCACGACCAATTACACCCCTATAAGATTCAACTCAAGAAATCACACATAAACAAAACTCCAATGAATTACCCAACCCAGTAAATAGTAACCAAAAACCTAAAGGATGAGTTCACACCATATACTCTGTCAACTACAAAAATAAATAAATAAATAGCAAATCATCTTACAATGTAACGCTGGTAGAACTTGCTCTTGTAATAATTAATAACATCGGAGCGAGATGCCATGTTGGGAGGAACGAGAACGTTTGACCAATAATCCGCCCATCGTGGGTCGTTGTCGTAGTCGTAAGCCGCCGCTGCCATTTTCTTCAACTTCTGAGGATCTTCTACTTCTTCTCCCATTTCTTTCAAATTGTTTCAGATTCCGCTTCCAAGATTTACACTCTTTAGTCTTCGATGGTAAATAATGTGAAGAGTCGTGTCGCCTTCACAAGAATTTTCCTTTTGTATACATATGCACAGTAAAAACCGGCGGGCTTTTTGTTTTACTCCCAAGTAAAATCTCTATAGTATAACATTTACTTCATTTTATCAAGATAGCACTTTATCTAATTAAGGGGACGTTCGGTATTGATTATGAGAATTGATTTTTTCATCGTTAGGAAAAAAAAGTGGGTTTCAACTGTAAATGAAGAAGTAAAAAATAACGGTTAAAATATTGAAACAACGGTTAAAAATTTAATTTTTTTAGGTAAAAATTTGCTACCAAACGGGACTAATATAAAGAATAAGTTCAATTAAACATCTTTATCTTTACTTATTAGTTTAATTAGGCAGACAACAAATGTTAATTTTCACTCCTTATTCTATACTACCTGGTCAAATAAATAAATATAATAAAAATCTCATTACACTAATACAAAAACATCAAAGATATATGAATACTATTAAATGGATAAAGAATAAGCACTTCATCTTGATTTTTTGTTTTTAGTTAATAAGCTTATGGATACTTATTACACACTTTTGATCGAGATAGTTCAAACGTCACAAGATAACATATATTCGTTCATTATAATTTATCACTATGTGCAACAATATATATGTACGATTATTGATGCAATATACATTGTTATAATAGTCCCACGTGCAAATGTTTTATACACATTGTCACGAAAGTTTCAATTTTCACGTCATTTTTATTAAGACACCGACAAAAAAAGAATAATACACAATTTTTGAAAACAACAATTTAATAATAATAACAATAATAATAATAATTTCATTTTATTTGAAAATATAATTAAAGAAAAAGAAAAAGGTATACAATCACCGCCCTCAACCTCCCCAGTCCCCACACCTAGTATAATCGAGGGAAGGGGCACCATGGAGCTCAGATTTTCGGATCAAATTGTCATCCCTAATTGCAGACATCAAATTTATTATGTAATGATAGAGACTTTTGATTGATATGCAAAATTCGTGTAAATTTCTTCTCACAATAATAAATCTTTTCTTCAACCAAAGGAAACCAGGTGCAGATATATTTAGTATGCAGTATTTATAAAAATAAAAAAAGAAGAATATATTAGTTACTTTTTGTTCTTTAATGCCTTCCAAAATTAGAAAGTCCACCTAACAAAACGGAGTTGAGATCTACAATATTTGATTGGTACAAAGAATACTTGTCCAATCTACAATACTGAGGAGAAGAAGGTTCAATTAATTTTGTGTAATCTGTTTCATATAACCAGGATTTTTACATGAATTGTAAATGAAAACTAATTAAAAAATAATTTGTAATGAAGGGAACTGTAACAGTATGCATATTTTCAATAAAAGCAGCCTTTAAGCACGACGAAGCATCGTCTCTTAGCCTCTCCCAAACTTAATTCCAAGAACCTCCCAGAGCTTGTTTAAATGGCTCCATTAACTTCTCCAACTGCTTTGGGAATTATTGAAGAAATCTGAACTATATTCTTGACTTCCAAATGCCATCCTCTGAAACATTCTGATCTGTGCAGATTGTTCCCTTGAAGTAAAAATCTCACTTTGGCCGGGTATCATTCCATTGTTCAAATCTCTTAACTCCTCCATAGTTTCTAAAGCTCTCACTACCTGGTGATGAAGAAAGAACGGAAGGAAAAATGATCATAATGAGCAGTGTAAAACAGTTTGTGATGAATCAAAGTCGAGAGACATTTGAAGGGTTAAAAACACTGTTTGTCTTAGTCACCGAACATTGTTTTGTTCCAAAACTGAACTTTCATCCGTCCACCTCCATCTTTTGAAATTAACAGAATTACTGATTTTTATGACAGATATGATGATGTAATCTAAAAAGACTGCTTATGCAGTGGTTTTGTTGTCCAAACTGCCAAAAATGCTTATTTTTGTAAAAATTGTCCTTGCTAAATGCATTGGTTTTTTCAGAAGAACAAGCCTTTAATTTTGATGACAAAACAATGCATTAATCATTAATTCACTTCTCAAGCCACCCCATCTCTATCATACAAGTCAACAGTTCCGTTACTTTCTAAGGATGAAGGTACACGGAGTGCCTAAATTGAAATAAAACGTAATACGACATTGATTAAAAACTACCTGACTCATCCTTGGCCTTTTTGAAGCAAAATGACGCACACAAGCAGCTGCTGCTTCAATCATGCGGAACATTTCACTTGCAATGTAGTTCTTTTCCAGCCTAGGATCTACTATCTCTTCAAAATCTTCCGTGTCAAGTGCTTGGGTGAGCAATGGTCGAGCCTGCAGGATAGGGTGATATCAATTGATCGGTTCTCATGAATATAAAAGAAACATGACTCCAATTACAATGATAATGATTTGAAAATAAAATAGATAAATAAATAAATCAATCAATTCCAGTAATAATTCTACTACTTAAGAGCTTTCACCAAAAATATATCACAACTCATTCTGTCTCCACACAAGTCAAAACCAATTTTGTTATATCATTTTCTCCTAGTTATTTCTCAAAAAACTCAGAAGTCTAAGGATGTACAAAAATTTATTGTTTCAATTTGGGGGAGGGGTATGAGAAATTCTCAGCATTTCATATTTCATTCCATGTAGTTGGATGGAAATGTTAATCTCCCAACTGATTTACCCAAATGTTGCATGCATAGATTTATGGTCACGTGCAAAAAATAACTTATCAACAACACTTATATGCATTAACATTATAATGTTTGTCGTTATCACGATTTCAGTGTTTACCTTTCTACCATGTTACAAATTGCAACGTCAATTTCCCTATGCTATGGAGGGATTAGTTCATGGAGTTTATGAGGGCTCTGGTAACACTTCTTTCTTCTCGTGATAAAAATGATCGAGGTTACTAATTTAGTGAATTTGGATATGGAGGCTACTCAGCTGAGTAATGAAGAACTAAGGAAACCAGCGACAAGATTTTGTAGCTCTAAACCCAGACACAGGAATGGGGAATGAAAATGCAATCAAAATTCGTAGTCATGAAAATGCGAGCAACATGGGCTTTTACATTTTTGCACCAATAGAGAAGATCATGATCCTCCCTCGAATATGGCTAAGGGGCCTTTCCAGGTAGGGCAGGTGGCTGTATTCCTATTACTAAGGACTTGTGCTATGAAGGGGGATTCATATTATATTTCCATAGAGGTTATCAACTTACATGGGCATATTCCAAATCCAATGCAAGAAGACGACAGTTATGCCGAGCAAACAGAATACATAAATTGGCGTATGATAATCGCTTTTGCATGACGACGTCACGAGATATAATGTCGGCCAATTTATCTTTAATTACCAGTCTTATGGACTGGTTATGATATGACTTCCACAGACCCAAGGCCTGGTAGTATGTCCATTCCTATATTTGTATTTTGTTTCAGTATTAATAAATATTCCATCAATGTTGTTTGATTTTATTTTATATTTTTTAAAAAGAACAAACAATGGCATCACTAAATTAATTCTTCTAGTCTCTTAAGGCTATCATTTCACCAAGTTTCTTTACTCGTAGAAGTTTCAACCTGACC